CGGGGTGGGGGGGAGGTAAAGGAGGGAGGGTGAGTGCTCATCCTATACTTCAATTTTGGAGCTCAGGCTCTAATATCTATCTTCCTTATGGCTCAGAACTAACTTCAAAGTAGTGTATAAATCCCTTCTATCCCTTCTATCTAAAGCTCATTTCTACACATTCACATAGAGGTTTTACTTTTTAATCATTTGTTTTATGAACTTGTTGGTGTTTTTTCTTTTTTTAATTTTTGATCCTCACCAGAGGATATGTTTTTATTGATTTTTTTTTTTAGAGAGGGAGAGACATCGATGAGAGAGAAACATCAATGTGAGAGAGAAACATGGCTCACTTGCCTCCCATATACTCCCCAAGCAGGGATCAAATCTGAAACCTAAGAATGTATCCTCACGGGGAAGCAAACATTTTGGTATATGGGATGACACTTAAACCACTAAGCCACCCAGCCAGGACTGAATTTATTTTTTAAATGAGCTATCCTCCATTTGAAAGTTGCTGAGAGAGTAAATCTTAAAAGTTGTCATTATAAGAGAAAAAAAATTCCATAATTATCTATACTGCTGGTATTAACTAGACTTATTGCAGTGATCATGTCACAATATATACAAATATCAAATCATTATGTTGTACACCCAAAACTAACATGTTGTGTATGTCAGTTATACCTCAAGTTTTTTCAATAACTAAATGAGCCAATGCTCTGTTCCTACTAACATTTTCAAACTTCTAGTCAGTTGTACAGGATTAAATAAGTATTTAGAGAAACCACTAGAAGGCCTGAAGACTATGTTCTTAAAATATACAGACAGTGTCCTTGAAAGGGTTGCTTTCAAAGAAATAGGCTAAATATCTGGGATGAGAAGAAATATATAATACCTGCAAATTCTCTACTAAATCTTTGGCAATATGAGTTTACATACTGCTGTAAATTACCTGAAGAGAAGTCATCTCTTTGAATGCCCAAATGAGGCAGAAGAAAGTAGTGACAATTTCTGATTTAAGAAAGAAGTGTTCATTCATACCCATCCCCTTCTGCTAGAATAGTCGTCTGGCTGATCTGTAAGAGCTGGCTGTCCATGCTAGGCAGAACCAAGTGAGCCGACCCAGCCACTTCACTTCTGGGATTTATCCAAAGAAACCCAAAACATAAATTTGAAAGAATATATGCACCCCTATGTTCATTGCAGCGATATTTATAATAGCCAACCTATGAAAGCATCCCAAGTACCCATCAATAGGCCAGTGGATAAAAAAAGCTGTGGTTCCTATCTACAATGGAATACTATTCAGCCATGGAAGAAAAGAAAATCTTACCATTTGAGACAGCATGGATGGATCTAGATGGTATGATGCTTAGTGAAATGTCTATCAGAGAAAGATAAATACCATATGATTTCACTTATGTGTGGAATCTAAAGAACAAAATAAATGAACAAACTTGAAACAGACTCACAGACCCAAAGAGAGAACTGGTGTTTGGAAATACAGTCAATAATATTGTGTAACTATGTACGGTGCCAGTTGAGGTACTGGAAATATTGAGGGAAACGCTATGTACATTATGATTGTCTACCACTAAGCTATACACCCAAAACCAATACATAAAGAAGGGGGGAAAAGTGATACACCTCAGCCTAGAGGTCCACGACTATCCAGACTATCGTGGAGTCCTAAATTCAACAGGATAACAACCAAATGTTGTTTAGCATTGAGTTCAATCGGGAACAAAAGGATAGTGAAACTTTAGTCTTGTTTTAAGAGTTCTGAAATATCCACCTTACACACTGAAATGAATCTAATATAAGTCCAGCTTTAAAGTGAGGAGTCTTGCCTAATTTTGGCAAGCTTTAAAAGTCTGTAACTCAAAATCATGACTATAATTCAGTATTTTAAAATGTATTATATAGCTACAAAAAATGCTTCTATCAGTCTCAGAGAAATCAGACTTCTCTTACAATATGATCATCTGTGAGTTAAGGTATAGTCTGACTAGTGAAGGCCATAATTTATAATTTTTTTCCCTTTTTCTTGTTGGCTCAACTAGCATGGATCTTGGTAGCCCTGAACAAGATCCTGAAATGAAGGAGGAATATTCTTCTGTCTATGTTGGCAGAGAAGATGACATTAAGAAATCTGAAAGGATGACAGCTGTTGTCCATGATAGAGAAGTGGTCATTTTCTACCACAAAGGAGAATATCATGCTATGGATATTCGCTGTTACCGTAAGATTTTATTTTTTTATTTGTAAATCTTGTACTTGTTTGCTAACCACAAAACCATCAAAATTTCAGGGGTTTTTTAGTGACTAGATTTAATACTCAATTTCTTTTCAGACTCAGGAGGACCTTTACATTTGGGAGAAATAGAGGTATGTAAGATTAAATCTATTCTCAAAAAACTCAAATGTTTTCTATTTATATTCTTATTTCATTCTGTAGTCAAAAATAATTTATATTTGTCTTTGCACTATACTTTAATGCTTCTAGCATAATTGCTAATATTTTAGGAATTTTCAGCCCTACAATGTAAAGAAGACCATTTCACAGATAAATGTGAGAACTATGTATGTCTTCTGACCTAGCGATTACACTCTGAGATATCTACTCTTCAGATATAATTGCACAAATGTTTAAATGTATATAGGAGATGGTTATTGTAGCATTATTTATTGTAATAAAAAATGACAGCCCTAGCCGGTTTGGCTCAGTGGATAGAGCGTCAGCCTGTGGACTGAAGGGTTCCAGGTTCAATTCCGGCCAAGGGCACATGCCCGGGTTGCAGGAGGCAGCCAATCAATGATTCTCTCTCATCATTGATGTTTCTATCTCTCTCTCTCCCTCTCCCTTCCTCTCTGAAATCAATAAAAATATATATTTTTTAAAATGACAGCAACCTAAATGTTTTAACAATAGGAAGCAGTTTAAATAAATTATAAATAGCCATGCTATGGAATATTGTGTTTTTCTATTTCATGAAACTGATAGCCCTCTCTCTCTCTCTTTCTCTCTCACTTTCTTTGACTGGTACAAAGTACAATCTTAAACTTAGTGTTCTACTCTCTCTACCCTTCATATCTACCTAGTCCCCCACCTGCCCTCAAGTCCTCATGTAAAAGGATGTGTATTTAAATTATGAATGTTAATTTATAATTAATAATTTAGGAAAACATTAATTCATAATTTATGAAAATATGAATCTTTGCCAACAGCTTTCTGGGGATATAATGTCAGTATTCCAGCACTTCTGGTGTTTAAAAAATGTAAGCACCTGGTGCTGATAAATATGGAAGAATTTCTCCCAATTTCAGACCATGACAGACCATGAGAGCTGTTAAGACCTTGCTACTCAAAGTATGTTCAATAGACCAGAAATATTGGTGTCACTTGGAAGCTTCTTGGAAATGCAGCATCTTGCGCCCACCCTAGGCCTACTGAATTTTAACAGAATGTTGGTGACTTCTGTGCTCTTTTAAATTTGAGAAGCACCGTTTTAATACAATTAAGAAGTTGAGAATTGACTACTTTGGATCGTAAATTGCTCTTCAATTAATATATGCATTCATGCTTTTAGTAACCTCTCTTGAATTATATCTGAAGCTTACCATTCTTCCAGCAGTTAGTGAAAATTCCTTAAGAAGCATCTGAAGCCATTGCCTCATTTCTGTCAAGGAAGTAACATTGACATCTAATAGGTAACAGCACAGCTGCAGCAATAGGTATAGCTGCTGAGCTAGTAATCTTCTGGCAGAGGTCTATCTTCTCATCAATAGCAAAACGGATGTGATAACTGCTAAGATTAGATCCTGCCTTATGCTGAATAATTTCTAAATGGGAGGAAAAAGAAAAGTTGTCTTGTTCCTTAACCTGATTCTTCTGCAATAGATTCTGTGCTGAGTCTGAGGGTTATTGTGAACATTGGAAATATCAGACTATTAAATCAATTATTTCCTTCCCTAGGATTTTGATGGACGACCGTGTGTAGTTTGCCCCTGGCATAAATTCAAAATTACTTTGGCAACAGGAGAAGGACTCTATCAGTCTATAAACCCTAAAGACCCATCAGCAAAACCCAAGTGGTGTTCCAAAGGAATAAAGCAAAGGATTCATACAGTGACAGTGGACAATGGGAATATTTATGTGACTCTTTCTAATGAACCTGTTAAGTATGACTCAGATTTTTATGCCACTGGAAACTTCAAAGTAATTAAGAGTCCTTCCTGATAAAATTATATGGCAATGAAAAGTGTGTATGTTTTAAAAATAACCTTGCTTCAATACCAAAGATGATTACTTTTTTCCAACATAGGCACATTAATTATCTTTAAAAATCATACAGTTCTGAAAGTTTCAAAAGCATAAGTACTGAGTATGAAATCTATAAAATGCATAGGCCTGGTATGTGCACTTAAAGAAGGATGAAAGTAATTTGAACTAAAATGAAGAAAAGGTATAAAATAAGATCTATTAAGAAAAATTGAGGTGGTCCTTGACATAGCGGGTTTTATTTATCATGGAAAAGTTGAATATATGCAAAGTAAACAGAATTATATAATAAACTCAAATCACCCAATTTCAGCAATTTTAGCAGTCTTCCATTCTTGTTTCATTGATACCTCCACATATTCCTCACCTCTCCTATTTGATTGTTGTTACTACTTTTTAAGGTAAAATGTAAATACATTGAAATGCTTAAATCTTAATTTCTGTCTTTTCAAATATGTATACAGCAGACTTTTTACACTTAAAAATTGCCTCCAGAAATGCTGAATTTAAAAATATGAAGCTTATCAATGTGCTAAACATCAAAGCCACATAAATTTTGGTTCAGTTTCTCTCTGGTCAAGACACATAGTCTCAACATAGGAAGACACTTAGAGCTGCTGCCCGGCCATGGGAGATGTGAAGTCTCTTATTCAGTGAGCAAAAGTACTTTGAGTGCCTATATGAAATTTTCAAGTAATCATGTTTTTATTTTTCATGTAAATGTTACAGAGGGAAGAGATGTAGGGTGTTGTTCCTCAGAATCCTTTCTGCTGAGTTGATGTGAAATGGTTTACCCTGCCAATTATTTTTGGCCAATGCTGTTCTGGTTGCCTGGTGCCTGTACTATACCAGTAATTCCCGGGGTGCTGGTCATCTAGGATATAAGAACAAGTAACAACAGAAAGACCTAGCTATTCATAGGAGAATATGAATTTGGAGAAAAACAAACCTCGTCTCAAAGCACAGCAGTTTTCTTAGTGGCATAGGATCATATTATAGCTCCAAACCTAATACTTAGCATTCTAAGGGACTCACCTGGCCTGGGGGGCTGGTGGGCTGAGGGGACTGGTTGCCACCATCTTGTGGCTGTCAGCACCGCCATCTTTGAGGGCAGGGCAGTCAATTAGCATATTCCCTCCTTATTGGCTGTGGGCACCACCATCTTTAAGGGTGGAGCAGTCAATTAGTATAATCCCTCCTTATTGGTTGTGGGTGCCGCCATCTTGAAGGTGGGACAGCCAGTTAGCATAATCCCGCCTTATTGGCTGTGGGCGCTGCCATTTTTGCGACAGCATGAGGGTCAATTAGCATATTCCCTGTTTATTAGATAGGATTGTTTATGACAGTAGCTACTCACCAGGTAGAGGAAATGTACCATCTCTAGGATGGACACATCCCAGCCTATTCTATCAGGTGCCAGTCCTCCAATGACCAGGCAGGTCTTAAAATGTGGCCAGAATTTTAATTCATGGAACAAACCACAGTACCTCCTACAGGCAAAGCCCTGGCTCTAGTTTGCAGGCTCAATTATAGAGCATTTTCTCTCAGGATCCAGTGGCAACAATGAGTAATATGGACTTGATTTCTGGCTTTAGATCTGTTACTCTAATCTGGAAATAAAAAATGTCATATCAAGCCCTGTCCTCATGTACAGAAATCTTCTCATCAGATTTGTAAACATTCTGTTTCATAAATTCCTGACAACAATGAATTGCAAAATATTCATGCTTTATAGATGAGTTACAAAAGAAGTGAAATAGGCAGAACTATCTAGCCTGTAGATAGAAAATAAGTATCCTTTGAAAAATATCCATAAAAAGATATGTAGCATTTTGATAGAGGTTTTTTTTTCTTCCCAGAAAAATAATTAGAAAGATACTCAAAACAAGTCTTTAATAAAAACGTAAATGTATTATACAGTACATACTCCTATGTTATAAACCACAGCATAAAGTCTAACCCACCAAAGGGTAAATTTTCATGTTCATTAAAAAATAATTATAGTCATATTCATTTTGTTTCTCTACCATATAAACACTTGTGAATGACATTTTATTAGTTCCTCCCCACCCTTTTTAAAAGCAGAGTAGTCAGTATATGAAAACTAGTTTCCTAGTTTTATCAGATGAAATGTTATTACATAGATAATTCTTAAGCTGTTCAGTGATATTTATGTACAGATTTGCTCATTCATTTATTTCAGTTGATTGGTCAAACACAGAATGTAAAACCTGGATCTTATTACTCAGCATATTATCAGGAAAATATGAAATATTGTCAGGCTGATCCAGTAATGAACAATAAGATTTCACTTTGATTTCACCATCGGGAAACATAGGCTCAGAAAGCGCAGGCTCAGAAAAGGATTTTCTAAGATGTTTGCTCTCCTCTCTGTTTTGCCTTATGGATTCTTCTTCTTGGAAAATTTTCTTTACCTTCTCCAGAACAGCATTAACACAGACTGTCTAATAATGAAAAAATATTGAAAAGTAAAGTTTCTTTTTAAGCTACTAAACTTGCAGATAAAAAGTCCAATAAAGTCCTATATAATAAAGAGCTAATATGCTAATTAGACCTGACAGCAGAATGACCTTCCGGAATGACCTTCCAGAATGACCAGTGGGTGGGGCCACGAGGCCGTGGGCCCCAAGGGCCGAGGCAGCCAGGGCTGCGACGGCCAAGCCCCTTGCCCGAATTTCGTGCATTGAGCCTCTAGTGTTTAATATAAAGTTATTAATCTATATATTCTAATAAAGAAGCACTTCCTTTCTGGAACCCCTGGCACATGGCAAACATCATGAGATTGATTCCTTGTTCTAAATATATAGCACCATAATCTAGAAAGAAAATTAAAACCTAGTATAACTCAATAAAGATAAGCTTTACATCCTTTTTCTTAATTCATTAATGTTCTATATATTTATCCTTTGATTTAATTAAATGAAACATTTTCTTTATTCTCCTGATTTAATTAAATGAAAATTTCTTCTGAGAGATGAAATGTCTCCAACATGTTAATACCTCACAATAGGTTTTCTGTTTTTGCTTTTGTAGCCCCTGGACTCTGTGTGTACAACTGGAAGGGCACAACCATTTTGGTAAAAATTTAGTAAGCTAAATGATATCTAAATAAACGTGATCCAATTCCCCTCAAAAAATACCATTTAGTACTTTAAGAAAGTATCAAAACATATAGAGAAATACAAAAACAGAATGCTTTGGGTTCATGATGACATTGTAAATCCATTGTACAAACCTGGGAATGCCAGCCTAACTCCAGACTTTTAATTAAGAGTGATATTTAAATATCTTTATCAATTAAGGCAACTGCAGGTATTTTTTTACTTGCATCTGAGTATGTCCACACCTAGAGCTATAAAACTTGAGGTGCATCACTTCCAGCTGCAGACAGCTTCATGCATTTATCCCAAATATGATCATTTTCTGTGTATGCCATGCTATGACAAAAGTTTGGGAAGACCTATCCTATTTGATATATTTCTTTTTCCCTCACCTACAAAATTTTATCTGTGCCCATTTTAACCACTTCTGCCCCAGTTTTAGAAAAGGAAGGAAAGTTCTCAAGATGGTTACCTCCAACACCTTCACTACTAAATCAAATGGAAATAAAATCTTCACTTTTCTTGATGACTTCTGCTTGTTTTGACAATTATCAATCTCAACCTCCTGAGTCTATTTCCTTTGCACTGATTTTCTTCCTACTTTTCTGATTATTGCTTCCTTATCTCCATGGATTTCTTAGCTCATCTTAATGTTGTTCACATTTCTGTCAACTTTTCATTTGGCATGGTTCCAGTCAGAGTGTTAATTTCCAACATATATGTTATATGCCTTCAAAACCATAATGCCAGACCTGGCCCCTCCTAGGTCTTGCTTGGATGCATATATGACCAATTATCAGATAACCAAAAATTGTTTCTATTACCTGCTTAGAATGTTTGTAGCATGAAAAATCATGTGGATTATTTCAAAAGCCTTTGGGAAATTACAGTTTAATTTTGGTTTTAGGCTTCTTTTTTTCTTTCGTTTTTTTTTGTTGTTGTTGTTCAACATAGCCATTTCATCCAACCCATTTTTTGCAGTGTATTTGCATTCTAGCTGAATTGAATGCCAATTTTGTATGAAATTCACAGTTAAGATATTGAACACATCTCAAAAATTTGAAATACTTTCAAAATATTTGATAAACTTTGTTCTTTAAAAAAGAACCCTGTATATGTGTTTAAAATTAAGTTGTTGTTGTTGTTTTTACTTTTTTTAAAGGTATCTTGGGTATTCTTGACTCTTTGTAATTCCCTATAAATTCTATAATTAACTACTCAACTTACACACACCTGCTCATATTTAAATTGGGACTGCACTGAATCTAGATTATGGGGAATTTTAGTCTTTATTACTGTGTGTTTCAATATGATAAAAAATATTAACATAAATGTGCAAGACATCTAACAAAAAAGCCGTAAAAATGATTAAGATAAAGAAGACCTAAATAAACAGAAAGAGATACCATGTTCACAGGCTGAAAGGAGGACTTATTCTGCCAATTATTAAGACATTATAAAGCTTCTGTAAATCATAGTGTTGAATTGGTACAAGAATAGAGAAATAGATCAACTGTATAGAACAGAGAGTCTTCAAATATACCTACATATATAAGTTCACTTGATTCAGAACACAATAAGTGTTCTTGAACAATAGGAAAAGGGTGTTTTTTTCACCAGGGAAGTGAGTCTGTTCAATTGGATACCCATGGAGAAAAAGTTTGACTCTTACTTCATACCAATTCCTAAAAGTGAAAGGTAAAATAATAAAGCTCCTAGAATGCATCAGAAATAAGAGTTTCATGACTTTGGATGTGGTAAAAATTTCCTAATTAGGATATTTAAATCTCTGAACATAATGGAAAAGTTAATAAATTAAATTATATTAAAATGAAGAACTTCCATTTTAAAACACACTGATAAAACAGGAAAAGGGAAGTCATAGAATAAAATAAATTTGCCCATATGTAACCAAAAGAGGGTTTGTTCCTGATATATTTTTAAAGTATAATAAGAAATAAAAAGGATGGACAATTCTCAATAGAAAAATAAGAAGATACTTTAACAGAAATTAACAAAAAGGACATTCAAATGTCCAATTAATGTATAAAAATCCACTCAATCTCATTAATAATCAAGGAAATGTGAATTAAAACCGCAATATAATTATATCACATATATACAGGAATGACTAAAATGGAAAAGACTGACAATACCAAGTGTTGGTGATGATGTTGAGCTACTGGACTCTATAATTTCCTGGAATGAATTGTTAAAACCATTTTTGGAAAACTGGCAACATTTGTACAAGATGAACATGTGCATATTCTATGGTCCAGCAATTTCACCAAAAATATATGTACAAGAATATTCATAGCACCTTACAATAGCCAAAGCTGTAAATATTCTAAATGTTCAACAGTACAATGGATAGTGATAGAGTCAATTAATGGAATACTACACAGCAATGACAATCAACAAACTACTGCTACAAGCATCAAATAAATGAATGTTGCAATGATGGTGCTGAGCAAAAAAGGGCAAATACAAAAGAATATGTTGTATATAATTTTACTTATATACAATGCAAACAAAACTATCTATGGTGTTAGAAGTCAAAATAGTGGTTGCCTTTATAGACAAGGTTATAGATTATGAGGGGGATAAGAAAGAGACTTCTAGAATGATAGTAATATTTTTTTTCTTGACATGTGTGGTACATAGGTTAATAGATTTTATGATGATTCAAGCTGCGTACTTTTCTCTTTGTATGTTATATTTTTAAAAAAACTTAAAGGTAAGTATAAATGGCAATAGATTAAAATAAATAATCCCTTATAATTTATAAAAGCTTTTATATTTTTGTCAATTATTAAGACATTATAAAGCTTCTGTAAATCATAGTGTTGAATTGGTACAAGAATAGAGAAATAGATCAACTGTATAAAACAGAGAGTCTACAGATATACCTACATATATAAATTCACTTGATTAAGAACACAATAAGTGTTCTTGGGCAATAGGAAAAGGGTGTTTTTTTCACCAGGAAAGTGAGTCTTTGGATGAACACTTTTAAATTACAGCACTTGTAACTCAAAATACACTTTTAATTTACAGCACTCATAATTCAAAACACACTAATACTTGTTTTCCCCCAAATCACAGACTTAAACAATGGAATACTGAATTTTAGCCAACTATGGCACAATGGCTGAAACAAAACAGCTATAGCTAAATGAAAGCAAAAACCACAATATTTTGACCAAGTGGTAATAAACCTTATAAAAACAAAATAATTTAAGTTATTTAAGCAAATTAGCTTTTAGAGATTTTAGTGAATTTTTAATGTAAAATTATTTTGTGTAACAAGAGAATAGTACCTTGGTTTATGAGTAGAATGTACAGTATACCTTTAATCTTACATAAGATAAGGATATTTATTTCTAGATTCTAATAATTTTGCTTAACTTACCAAATAAATTAGTGCTGCGTATGAAGCATACATTATGCTAGTTAAAGCAGTCTTTGCTGGAAAGGAAATGATATCAAACAAAGAACCCTTTCTGATCTGCAAAAACAGAAGAGAGTTTTCTTGTTAAAACAGAAGTTTTCGATGTTACAATGTTAAATTTTATAGTGTTATTGAAAAATGAGACTTTAAGTATTTTTTCCAAATAAAGTCATTTACTTTAGATCAATCTGGGTTTTCACATTCTAAAAATATATTAGTTTCTTTTTTTTCCTTTTGTAAAAAGATACTTTCTTTTGCTCATCAAAACCTGACATGTCAATTTTAAGAACCTTGCGCTGGCCGGTGGTGTGGCTCAGTTGGTCAGAGCCTCGTTCCTTGTACCAGAAGGCAATCAATGTTTCTCTCCCTCCAACCCTCCGGCCTTCCTTCCCTTCCCCTCCTTAAGATCAAATAATAAAAAATAAAAACCTTAACTTTTTTTTTTTTTTTTACATTTACCAAGTGTTCACTAGAGGGTGCTGCTGTGCATATTAGAACAACAGTCTCTTCAAATTTATGTAATCATCCTTTACTACATTATTCATTTCTTCAATTAAGCAAACAGTAATCAACACACTGAACATTTCCTGGAGATTAATGACCTGCTTGGAAATGTTAATTATATGTCTGCTGAAGGCCATCCTTAATCCTAGATGATCATTACGCTTCAGGAAATGCTTTGTGCTCGCATCCAGCATGCTTTTTGAAACCAAGAGAAGGTTTACATCAATAATGGGTTTGTCTCTCAGATGTTTCCACCTGCTGGCAACAGAAGGTGTCCCTGCCTAGAACAATAATACTACATATTCGATTCAAGGGAGCTATACTTTCATAGGCCACCTCTATTGCCTTGAGTAGGATATAAAATGAGGACATTCGGAAAACCATTCCCTTGCCAGTCAGCAGTGCCGTGGCCATTAGCCATGCTTTTCTGCAGTAACAGCGGAGCTACTTGATGGCTTCAATAACTCCCAAAAGGTACAGGCTGTAGCGGATAAAATAATGCACACAAACTACAAAGAACAGATATTTACAACATTGAAAAACTGAAACGATAGAATGATTAGGTAAATTACACTATATCTACTCAGTGGTATATTGCAGCTCTTTCAAGTGTGTTTCCAAAGAACCTGTGATAACATTTTAATGAGCAAATCTTACGTGGCCCTGTGTACCAGGTTCTGTTCTAAATACTTGTTATTGTAGTAAACTCTGTTTTTGCTTGCTGCTGTCACTGCTGAATGATGAACAAAATTGCTATCACAAGTTCCCTTCTTATTTCTTAAGAGACTTATGGAATGCTGAAGCAAAAATATTCTCTAGCCTAGTAGCTAAGAGATGGCTGGTGGGGGGAGGCCCTTCTTATTTCCTACCTTTCAGGCTATCCCAACTCAGATACAGGGATAGGTAGGGGCAGTTTTAGCCCCCTCCTTCTATAAGTCATTCTGGAAGTTTTCCCAGGAAATAAAGCACCTGTTGCTGTTTTCCTCTTGTAGAAGAATCAAAATGATAGCATGCCTTTGAGTCCCTCTGTTAGGCTATAAGGAGATGTTATACTAGTAGAGAGCAGATGCTGACATTAGGAAGGAAAGCAGATACACTCCAGCAAAATGCCTCTTAGCAGAGTAAAAGATTATGAGTTTGTGAATATATAAATGCAAGTGAGAGGTCCATATTTAATAACTGGTAAGCCATATGCAGTAAAAATAGAAGAGTCTGAATGCGTAAGTCACTCTTTCAATGCATCTTTCTCTTTCAGATTTTGTCCTTCACCTAAAGGTAATTAAAACTGATTAGTTTCAAAATAAATTATGTATTTGATACATGTTATGCTTCTGAGTGATAAATCTATACATTGCCTAAGGGTCAGTTTTTCACCATTTTAATGTTTTTAATAACTACTTGCTATTCCTTTGACAAATCATCCTTTTAGAAAATACATTTCCTCCAAAATTCATGGCTACAGGCAAGTGGCCATTCTTCAAACTTATGACTCACTTGTAATACATGTTTTTCATATTATAAGCTACCCTGTTTCATCTTTGGCATGCTATGAGCAGGAACAGTGCATGGTAAAAATGAGATAAAAAAATTGGTAAATTGAAGGCTTTATTTAAATAATCTTGGCCTATTTCAGAAATTTTATCTTAACCTTGTTATATTTTGTTTTTTTGCATATTTAAATTAAAAGTATTCATATCAATATTATTCCCATATATTTCTTTTTTTTAATTTGGTAATATTACTACATAAGATATATGGATATTTCAACAGTAAAAACATTTCAATATTTAAATTTCTCCCACATAATTTTGACTGCTTCATTTAATAAAAGAACTGTGTTTATCTTATTTTCACTAATAATGGGATAAATCACCAAAAAAGGAAACTATAAGCAGTTTAGAAAATAAAGATCCATTTACAGGTGACCTGAAGGTTGGAGTATTACCAGGTCCCACTTATGTTGTCCAAAACCATCTTGGTGAGGGATATCAGGGGAGTAATAGGGAAAACTAACTCAGTGACTCACTAGTAGGTGTTGTAAGAAATACTGACTACAGTTAATAGGTCCAGGAAAAAAAGTGTTTCCTATTTTGGGAAAGCTACATGACCATGTCTTTGCTTAGCAACTCACAATACTAATGAGCACAGCAAATGCTCCTAGCAGTCCACACAGAGTAAAGAAAGTTATTTGACTTTGTTTATCCCAGTATTAACATCCTGTGGAGCACTGGTTTCAAATAAGCTCTTAATTGGGTGGTCCTGTAAAAGCTCAAACATCCCAACCTCTTGGCCAAACTGGAGAATTATGTTTTCAAGATTTCGGTAGTTCTGCTTTCTAGGAATGGTCCCTTTCCCCAGGCCTTGAATTACACCACCCAAGAGAGCCTCATGGCAGGCTCATCCAAGGACCTACAGAAGTGCCTGATATTTGTGAGGTTTGTAGTTTAAACCCAAAACTGTAGTCTACACCGGAGGGTGAGGGGTAAGGAGTAAACTTTACTTAGAAAAACCTGACCCTCATCTTGGAAAAACACTGTAAGTCACTGGGGTCCGCCTGTGGCACAGACCTTTTAGAGGCTGTTTTCTTCACTTCGCCTGCACAAAGTAGAAACAGTTATCTCTAATGCCGGAAGTGCTCCCGGTCCTGTGGCCCTGCTTGGCCTGCCAAAGTCAACAACTATGTCTGGGAGCTGACGTGTCTTGGCCCAAGTCAGCATTCAAGCTAATTATCTAGGTCACTGCAGCTTAGAGCAGCTTACAAGGCTTAGCAGATGCTCCAATCTGTGAGCACTGGTGCTGGGAATGTCGAAAACCATCAGGATATTCTCCACTCAGTTCTCCATTCCTGAGGCCCCTTCTAGAACTCGCAGATACTAGGATATCAGTACAACCTCAGCCCTGCAGAACCCAGAAGTCTTTGAGGAGCAACCTGACTCACAAAGGTGCAAAGCAAATGCCAGGTGCCAAGGAAGTCTGTTTTAACAAGATGTCCAGCTGGAACCTCCTAACCCAAACTCTCTTTTTGTTGATCTCTTACCCCCCTCCCTCAGCCCCCCTCCCCTCCCCGGCCTTCCCGCTGCAGTTTGACAGTCTGTTTGAGGCAGCTCTGCCTCTGTATCTATTTTTGTTCATAAGTTTATACTGGTCTTTATTATCCATGAATGAGTGAGATCATGTGGTATTTTTCCTTCATTGACTGGCTTATTTCACTTAGCATAATGCTCTCCAGTTCCATCCATGCCGTTGCAAATGGTAAGAGTTCCTTCTTTTTTACAGTAGCATAGTATTCCATCGTGTAGATGTACCAGTTTTCTAATCCATTCATCTACTGATGGGCACTTAGGCTGTTTCCAGATCTTAGCTATGGTGAATTGAAGCACAATACTAGTATCTTTGAATTGAAGATATATAGTCAGGGTCCTCATGAAAATACTCCTTTATGTTCTTGAGGGAGGCAATCTGCCTGACTGGTGTTCCCACCTACATAATATCCAACAAAGCTTTGGCAGAATCATTCAAGGTGCTCTGGGTACACCATCCTCTCATCAGAGATGAGACAGAGCACATGAAGAGGGCCTTTGAACATACCTAAAGATAGCTTAATGAGGCTGCTTGCTTTCATACATAAAGCAATGTCCTCCATGCATCCGCAAAGCATATCTCCTTGCAAAGTAATTCCAGATTTCACTCCTTTTACTTCTGCACACCGCAAAGTTCCACCTTGACACAGGCAGCCTGGCAAATCTTGAAAGAATTCATGTTGGAATTCACACTGCATAAGCTGAACTCCGTCACGTTGGGAAGGCAGCCAAGCAGTGTAGCAGGGCTGGTATAGCTCCTCTGTGCTATGCCACTTACATCTTGACACACCTTGGTGCCATTGACCTCCACATCGCCTATGTTATTCTGTTGTTCCTTTGACTCTCCAGGCCATTGTCTTCACTGTTCATACATCTCTCTTAGTCATCACTGAGACTTTCAGATTTGAGATACAGTATGTTGTTTTCTTCCTTGAAACAAGTTAGTTTCCTTTCAGTGGCAATTCTGATTCTACATCCTAGTTAATGCACATTCCCCAAGTAGAGCTTCTTCCTCATTCCTACCCTCAAGGGCCCAGGAACCTCTGACTTGGGACTTTCCCACTTGTTCACTCCAGCCATTTAAAACTACTTACACTTCCTAAGTAAGGCATGCTCTTGATTGCTTCAGCATCTTAATATACACTGTTCTCTTCCTGGAATGATTCTCCCTTTGCAAGGCTAATTTCTCCTACTTCATGTCTCAGGTCAAGTATCACCTTCTGGAAAGCCTACACTGACTACTCTTTGGAATGGCATGCCCCTTGTTGATGCTTCCATAGTGCACTTTGCACACTTTGATGATGTAATTGCTACAATCTACTAGCACTGCTTGCTTGCTTATAACACCCACAGTTCATAGGCCCAGGACAAGACATCTATAAATGCCTACTACCCAAGCTAATGATTTTACATGTCAGGTTTTCAAAAGTATTTGTTGAATGAATGAAAAAGTAGAATTATACTTTACTTACT